CTGTACTGCACTTTGTAGATCCTTTGTCAGTGTCAGCCATGTGGATGAGTCACAGCCAATGCTTGACCAATTTGCTCTCTTGGAAAACCTGAAAGTTTTCTCTCCATGTGACTCTCCTTAGGCACACTATACATCATCGATCACATTCCTCTTTGGCCCCATAATCTCCTTGCTTAGAAAATTTGGAGCACAACTGAGTTACATGATGTTACAGTACAGGTTCCCCTATGTCCTCAGTCCTCACTGACCTTGAAAGGCTAGGGCCAAAATGTTGGCGGACTGTGTAACCTTCCTTTTCTCCAATTTTTGATCTGCAAACTTAGGTTGTTAACCCTCCAGAAGAGAGGCTTATTAGTATCCTGCAACATATGCAGTTCGTTTTACCCTAACTATCTGTCTAAATATCTTCCATCATGTATTGATGTGTTGAAATTTAAGTCCTTACAGAATATGAAGAAAAAAATTAACAAATAGCAATAAACATATTTTTACACAGAAATTTTGAAATCTAACCATATACAGCATTGTAGCAGAACAGTTCTGTGACATTGTTTTTCTTTTTCTTGTTTGTTTGTTTGTTTATTTATTTATTTATTTATTTTTTGTGGAACCAGGGATTGAACTCAGGCCCTTGCACTTGCCAGGCAAGCACTTATTCTACAGCACTACCTCCCCGGCCTTTTTTTTTTTTTCCATTTATTATCCATTTGAAAAAAGAAAAACAAAACACAAAACAAACCCTTTTACTTGTGAGACAATATGGTAATAATTGGTATGTCGTGACATGAAGTATGTATTTAGAAGACCAGAATGACAGGCATTCCAAGTGTGACCCTTCTATTACACATTGCTATTTTCAGTGCATTTGTTTGGTTCACAGGTATCAGCATATATGTTTAGTCAGATTGAGAATCCTACCAATTTACTGCCAGTTTCAAAAACCTGCTGATGTTTCTCAGGGTTATTGCCTTGCCATCTTGTGCATACAAGTGTATGGCTTTGTCCTAGTCCTGTTTCCCAGCTTTTCTCCCTATCCTCTCCTCATTGTCCAGTCCTCAAGTTCTCACTTTCCTTTCAGTTGTGTTATACCTTTCTCTTTGTATTTCTTCTTTTGATTTCTTACACTGGTGAGACTATATGATATTTACACATGTGGGTCTGGTTTATTTCACTTATGAGTATATCTTCAAGTGGCATCCACTTAAATGTAAAATCTTCAAGTTTATCATTCTTTATAGCTGAGTAATACTCCATTGTATAAAAATACCACATCTTTTTCAAACATTCCTCATGTGATGGGCATCTTGATTGTTTCCAAGATTTGGCTATAAATAAATAAATGAATGAATTTTCATTCTCACTGTGTAAAAGGCGTACATAATGAAATAGTTTGACTTTGGAATTTTGAAATTTCAGATGTAAATTGAAAAACTCCAAAAAGGAACTCTGAATGAAAATAGAGATAAATGAATTAGTGTACACAAAGAAAAAATGGGTGTACAATAGAAAAAAAAACCTGTAGGAGAATTTGGAAGCCTCAGAGAAAGTGACTTTTTAAGATTACTGTTAAAAGCTAATGTGTAGTTTTATAGGCAGAAAATGCAGGTAGGCAATTTAAGGTGAAGGGAATAGCATGTTCTAAAGAGTAGAGGTTTTGAAAGACTATGGTACATGTAGAAAGTAAAAGGTAGTCTGCTTATACTAGAGCTCAAATTTTGTGTGCAGAAGTGGTGGGAGAAAGGCCATGAAAGAAGATTGGGTCTAGTTTGTGAAGGGTCTGTCAGGCTGAGGTGTTTTGATTTGATCCTGGAGTCACCAACAGTTAATCAAGGGAGCAAAAGGATTCTCTCTGTGTGTCAGGAGAGTCATTCTTGGTAGAACAGAAGAAATAGTATTTGAGGGAAAAAAAAACTCTAAGGAAAATGAGATCAGTACATAGATTATTGCAGTAGTCGAGAGAGAAGGTAATGAGGCTCTCAGGTAAGGCACTGCTAATGAATGTAAATGGGATGAGTTAGATCTGAGAGACATTTTAGGAGCAGAGTAGAGTGGGGAAATTGCGTGGAAACAATTTGATGATGGTTGCTCTGAATTTAAGAATCAGCAAGTTTAAGTCACTTATTTACTCTGTGGCCTAAGAAAATTAAGTACTCAGAGTGTACTTAACAAAGTGAAAGATACAGTGATAAATCTGTTCTAATGGAACCAAAAGAATAATTAAGTAAATGTATATAAATATTGGAGTACCCAGAACCTTTATACCAATGTTATTATGACTTCAAAGCAAGGAAAACAATGATCATAGATGAGCTTGAGGTTTTTAGAGGGTTAGTAGTGGAGTTTAGAGAAGAGGAATAGTTAAGTTTGATTTTGGATATTGTGAATTTGAGTTACATTTAATATTGGGATCCCTAGAAGACATATGGAGACTTAGATTAGAACTTAAGAAAAGTGACTTGGAGATTTGTTTTATTTATTTTTTTCTGTATTTTAGGGAAGGGTCTACAGGGTGTTCAGGTCTCACTACTAGATCTGACTCATAGTGATCCACCTGTTTACAGCCTCCCAAGAACTGGGATTACAGGTGCGCACCATCACGCCCAATCTGACCTAGAGATCTGAACGTGTACCTAGGGTAGATTCTATAGGAACCACACATAGACAATCTTGTCTCCTTTATCTCTCTCCCAGTGCCTTGCACGTCTCTCAGATTCAGAGAATGAAGAACCTTCCCAAGGCCAGATGACACAGCCACATCGTTCAGCGTTTGTTTCCAAGAACAACTCCTACTCCATAGCTTTCCTGGCAGGGTAAGAAACTAATCCTGAATTCAGTCAGAGTTCTTTGATTTGCTGGTGGGTGAAAGGGACTGGTAAACAAAGGTATTTGTGGTACCCCTTTGAGGGAGGTAGAAGAGGTACAACGAAGTGGGTGGTAGGTTTTCAAGGATTGACCTAAATTTTTAAAATAAAAATAATACCTATCTATTTCTAGCACCCATGGGGTAGAATTGTGCTAATTTTTCTGCTTTATAGAGTTAACCTTTTAACCTGGGTGGAAACAAATCTCCTTTAGTGTGACAATATCCAGAATTTTTCTTTTGGGTTTTTTTGTTTGTTTGTTTGGTTGGTTTGGTTTGGGTTTTTTTGGTATAGGGTCTTGTTATGCAGCTTGGAACTCGCAGAGATCCTCCTGTCTCAGCCACCCCAGCACTGGGATAGCACCACATGTTTCAGTGGCCAGCGTGGCACACCCAGGGTTTCTGGGCTGGCTCGGCATGCAGTACCAGGGATTGAACCTGGCTTCTTGCACTTGCCAGGCAGATGCTTACACTGCTGAGCTATCTCTCCAGCCCTTTCCTGTGGGTTTTAATGCTCTTAGTGGGAAGTGAAGCCAAAGTCAATTTCATTTTAAATGTCTAGATCTATATGTCTTCATGGGCTTCAGGGAGGCAAACTAAAAAGTTTTTAAGACTTTTGGTCCTTTGGACTTTGTAGGTCCTGGGAAGGAAAGGAGAAAGGAAATGGATGGATACTGAATATTGGAGAAGGGTGGTTAGTGAAGAGCTAGATGGAAGGAAGATAGGATGCACAGAGGAGGGGAGGAAAGGAAGGGGGAGGGGGGAGGG